TCACAAAGATCATCCCAGTTTTCTACAAATAACAATAACTCAGTGGCATTCATAACTTAGATTACACCTTTACATTGCACAATAGTGATGTTTAAACGTTATTGTCAACAACCAGAGTTCTAGATCTCAAATATTATGAAAACCAAATATGTGTGTCTTATTGCACTATCATATACACTGGCAGAACATTTACATCAAGCAACAAAATTATCAATTTTTCATGATAATATTTCAACTAAACTTCATTTTTCCAAGGAAATATATTCAGTTTCTAATGAATATGGAAGTGAGTATGTGCCCATTCTTTAACACACCTCCTTTTATTCCTTTGAGTCTTATCTTTCAACTGTGCCATTGTCATGATATCTACTTCGATTCCTCCTTTTTAGAGAGTACCCTTTTTTAACATTTCTGGTTGCACGTCCTCATCTTCTTTATAAGAGTGCACAGTAAATCTGCACGAATTCCATGTCTTTCAAGCAATATCATATCCTTTGCCATTCTCTGCAAATATATTTCAAAATTATGTTTTACTCAGGGATTCACACGAAACAGCTCAATTCTTATTTTATTCTTCCAATGTGATGCCTTATTACAAGTCGTATACCTCTGTCAAATAAACTTTGTATTCCTTCGAAACAATGGATCTCATGTATCAGCATCCCAAATACGTGGCAGTCTCATCCATTGAGTTTAAACACTCATGCCAATCTCGTATAATGAATTATACCTTACCCTCCCACCAGTAAACATCATTCATTTGTGTGCAATGACTACACTTGGCCATGATCAGGGCACTTAAAGTAAGCCAAAACAGTTCAAAAAATTGTCCTTATTAGCGCCCATATGAGTCTCAACTGAGAAAAAAATGCTGCAGTTTCACTCAGTTTAGAAGAAAAAAATGGGAAAAAATTGTTGCGAAATTTGCCACGTTTGCATGAAATGTGGGATTCTTACCTATCCTACTCTTTTTGCTTTACCAATGGAATATAAAACATGTACTTACAATCTTACATCAGTATTTTAATCGACAAGTCTATAGGAAAATGATATAAACCTACTGAACTGCTATTCAATCTATCCGATAAGGCAATTTTCATCATGCCACAAAGCATATCTCCCTCCAGTTTCAAAACACTGTGCCCTTATGCACCTATTAGCTATGACCATAACTCAAGGTGCATGTACAAGGAAGTATGGATGGCCTTATGCATCTCTTAGCTATGGCCGTTCCATGATTCAAGCTTCCCAAAAGCAATATCGCCCCAAAGGCACATATCTCTTCACATCCCCAAAGTGTGTTCGACCTACTAGTATGCCCCCTATGGTCTCATAGTACTTATTAACAGGAAGTGACAAAACATGCTGCATTTTTGAGATTTTTTGAACCAAGATAACTAGTTAAACTTACTGGAGGTCAAAATAGAACTCTGTTATCTTGGTTCAAAAAATATTCAAAATCCAGCATGGTTTTGTCACTTTCTGTTTTGTTATTTCCTGTTTAGTACCGTGACACCTTAACACGGCCTCTAAAATTCCTTGGGTGCTTCCCAAAAACAGTGAGGGCCGTCATGCTCTTAGAAAATTTTACTCACCAAGCTGCCTGGAGTATGTCCTCCACATTCAAAAATTACTCAATACTGATTGTACTTGGTTTTCATATGGATATCACTATTGATATTTTATAAAATAATAGTCCAAATAACATACACAACTTAAAATAATATGGTAAGTGTAGTAAAAAGTGATGCAATGACAAGTCTTTCATTTGCATTTATAATCAAGCAAACACAAAATAATCAATGTGAAAGAATAATAAGTGCAAGCTTACCCTATCTCTAGTGCAATATGAAAATCTTAGCTAAGGATGCAGGCAAGGGTTCACACAAAATCACACATGAATGCAATTAATATGATTAACGAGGCATATAGCCTTTTATTATTTCGTGAAGCCACTCAGAAAAATTATGCTTCCTCTGCAACCTGATGTCCAATCAAGATCATTCAAGTATTTATATGTTCCTGACACGTTTGGGCGTCTGGGAATAACAACATCTACCCGAAGTTTGCACGCGAAATTGACGTAATTCAAGACTGAAATCGGGAAGACAAAATTTGAGATTCACAAACAAAATTGCTTGTAAAAACTAATTACAAAAGAGACTCTAATCTACTTGGCTAAGGTTTTGTTTGAATATACATTGCCTTATTAAGCAGGTAGAGGGGCATACAGAACACAGAAGCAAATTCTATGTTGAAAATTTTCTATATTTCAATTTGAACATGTTATTACATGTCATGTAGGCAATTTTGCTTTGAATGATGTACAAATGTCTAAAATATCAGGGAGTTATTTCTAAGAATGACAAAGATATTGGGAAAAACTAGGGTTGCTGTTTTTTTTACCATCCTGTACTTACATTTGCACCGGTGTCAACATTATCAAATTTTAACTGCATATACAGCCCATTGTTATCTTTATCTGACAGTTGGTTATTATATAGGGTCACTCTTCATTACTAGTCACATTTGGACCCCTTGACTCGACTAGTGTTTGTTTCCCAACCCCTCATTATTATTTTTTACATCATCTTGTTTAACAAGTGGAGATTTGGATAAAAAGTATTCATGGGATCAGCATTTCCAACAACAGCGGAAACCTCGTTCCGTTGCATCTTTATGCTTTTCTCAACAATCTTTAGTCAAATGATTTTCTCTCGAACAAAGCACACACTTTTAGCTAAATGTCCTGTCATTTATTTACCAGTAAGTGACTTATTCAATTTTTCTTCAATTATTTCAAGTTTTGAAACAACATCAGAAAGTGACAAAGCATTGACAGCAAATTTAGTGTCAACCACCACTGTAAAATTGTCATATTTATTCATTGGTTCACTTAACTGCTTTGCTCGGCCTTTCATAAATGATACATATCTTAATGTACTAGTAAGAGCATCATTCAAAGATTTGGGGTTATTTGATTGCATATGCCACTCCATATCTTTATCATTGAGTCAGTGTGTCAATAAATGCACTAGTCACAAAATGCTCAAGAACTAACCGTCGAAGATCATGAAATGCTTCCCTGGACAAACTTTCATAGTAAAATATATCCTCTAAACTCAAGTCAGCTAATACCCCTAATGCTTTATCTTGTAAATGGCCCACTAATTGAAGTGCTTTTGATCTATCATCCCAACCTCTCTCAAAAGCTGTTGTCTAAAATTATGCCAAATAATTTGTAAGACTTAATTAACTTACCATCTTATTAACTCATTTTTGGACACCTATAGAACCAACCAATAAACAAAGACTGATTCCCAGAATGTAAATTTTCCAAAATTTTGTGTGAGTGATGTCCCAATCAGTAGGAAAATCGAATTTTGAATGGACCTTGTTGATTCTTCCAATTCCATACTTTTCATACTTCCTGCTGCACAACAAGACAAAAGTGCCACCATTCGACGTTTATCTTCGAGACCAGTAATGCTGATCTGTTCATTGCTTTTATTAATATCTAATATCCACTCAGAATGAGGGAAAATGAAACCTCACGAATGATCAAAATTTATGATGAGCTCCTGGGTAATATTTAAAATGGCTACCAATTCTTTAACTGCTTCAATAAACTTCGACTTCAAAGTTTTGTGATCAGCAGGTTTGTAAGTTTGTTTGCAACTTTAGTTCCTTTATGTTTGACAAAATGATTTGGACCAGCCCCTAGTGACATCTATGTGACCACTGTTTAGCTCACATGGTGAGCTTGTGCAATCACATATGTTTTATTTTTGGCTTTTACAATTCCAAACCCTACTGCCAGCAAAATATTCAAATCTAAACACCCCCATCATGTCCAAGGTGAGAACAAAAGTTCAATAAGTCCTTTTCATACCGTCTCATCGTGGGTTCCGATCCCCTTGGCATTAGGCAAGGTTGTCACATCGCTGTCATTATTCTTTTTCTATATTGAGATTTCATGTAGTGCATAGATGACTCATTTACATCAATTTCCAAAAGTGATGAAAAATGTTTGGCAGCGGCTGTTTTGGCATGTAAAACATTTTGATATTCAGCAATTGCAGCTCTGTCATGATCGGTATATTTACCACATGGTGTCACTACGGTAAATCATTGAAAAATAAGTGAAAAAATCACTAAGTCCTAGTTAAAGGGTATAGTTGGCCACCTTTGAGCAAACTGGACCATATAATGAATAGTTTCGTGTTCCCCTATGTCTTACCTTCATCTTAACACATATTGAACATAGGTTTTAGAGAGTACTTGCCCTCAGCTTTACATACATACCTCAAATGGCCACTGTACATGCACTTACACCTACTATACACACCATTGCCTTTGGCATGATTTCTTTTTAAAGTATTAAAAAACACTGTCCTACGTGGAGTGACACCTTAATATCTAAAATCGGGGAAATTTCTCTCTTGGTTTTTTTTTGGCTCATTTAGCATTTTTTTAAACAATTGAGTTATTTTATGCTCAAAGCAACTGCATTTTCAAACTTTAACACATTTTCTACCAAATATAGCCATATTTGGGCATATAGGTTAGCCCTGGGTCTCTGAAAATTGAGCGAAATGATCAAAAATTGGGTCGCCAACTTCAAAGATGTCATGCAAAAATTTTAGATGCAAAATCTCTGAGATTCTTTTGTTTTCTAAAACGCCATTTCAATACCTTTAAAGGAGTACGCATGATACATTGAAATGTATGTTGCTAAATGTATTTTTTAACTCAAATGGAGTCTCTTGGTGAAATAATTGCCATTTTTAGCCATTTTCACCCTTCAAAGCCAATTAGAATCACTTGTTGGATTTGTTCCTATTGTGACATGATTAATATCAAAACATTGCTGTCATAATTGTTGGTTCCCCATGGTATCCCACCCTTGAAACAACCAAAACACAACACATGCTCACTTTGCAGCTGAACATTGTAGATTAAATTTCTAAAATGGGTAAAGGAGATCAGAAAAGGCCACGATTTGCTAAAGGCAATAGCCTTTGGAAGCATATGAAAACTGATATAAACTATTACAACGGTCAGGAGCACATGGAGCATGATAAGTCTGAACAATACTTTCAAGTGAATTCATACACTTACACCAAAGCAAAACAGAATCCACAAATAAGTCCACTCAGGCCTTTAAAGAAAGACCTGTTCAAGGTGAGTGATGTAGGTGATATAACTATTTTAAGTGGGAACAGGTTGATGAACATTGAAAATATGATGTCCACATTTAGCAGTGTTTATTCAGACCATCTGAGTTCTTCACCAAAATGCCAGCCAAGCTTTGCAGTCCCCGCTGAGTCAGAAAAACAAAAGGACTTGGCTTTCAGTATATCATAAAGTTCAAAAAATGCAATTTTAAGTCTTTCCCCCAGAAATCTTTTAAAGATGTTCGTACCAATCTGAAGGGTAGGCCAAGTGCCTCGTGAAACTTACAACTTGCCAATTTCCTGCTCAAGACGTTAATATCCATGTCAGATATCCAACTGCTAATGATATCATTAAACATGCCAGCTATGTCTATTTCTTCAAAATGCAGTAGATAAAGCTTCACATCATTACACTGCTCTTAATCAGAATCAGATTTTGGAAAATTGAAAGTTAGCTAGGCAGATAGCTGCTATAGATCCCATAAAGGAGTGCTCTGTTGTTCTTGATACTTGCTTTAACAATGCTCCAAAGGGAAGTGGCTACTATCAACAAGGGACTCAAAGTTTTACGCCCCTGATTCATGAAAAGTCTGGTCTCGTTCTTGGCAATCAAACCTTTAACAAACTGTGCAGCAAACACGGATTAGTTTGCACAAATGGTGTTGGTTGCACGCACAACAACTTTGAAAATCATAAAGCAATGAGTACTAGTGAAACCAACGCAGCCGCAAACATTCTCAATGAAGTCAAAGATTTACATATTACTCATCTGGTAAGTGATTCCAATACCAGTATTAAAAAGCTGACAAGAGAAAGTAACATTCAAACAATAGATTGTCTTGTCCATAAAATTCGTGGAATGAAAAGAAAGTTTTATACCCTTTCTTTGAGTGAGCAAATTGTAGGTAAAACAACAAGTCCTCAATTTAAGTACATCAGATCACAGCTGTGTGAAACATTAGCAAATCGCTTATCCCTAGAACTAAGATTTATGAGAAACAAGCACAAAGGCAACATCAATAATTTTTTAAGGGATGTCGAAAGACTTACGCATATAATAATTCCTTGTCTTTCTGGTTCTCGTGGCATGTGCAAAATATCATCATATTGCAATGGGCAAAACATTAAAAAACAACTCCCAAATAAAATGTACCTCAAGCCAACCCCAACAGACTCGAAACTTCTTCAACAGTGCATTGATTGTAGGAGACACGCGTCCATCTGAAGTGAGCAAATGTCCTTTCGACCCTTCGAGAGCAGGCAATACTCTGTGGCGGCCTAACCACCCCTTTAACGATTAACGAGCTTCCCACTCAAAAATTTTCGTGATCGGAGACCCGGATGTTGGCGGTATCCCATGACCCTCGTACGGGGGGAGTCATGCTAAGTCTTCTAACCCGACCACTGTCATTTTCCCCCTGAACCTGGTCTAAAGGGCCATAAATAATTCGACCAGCCGAGCAGTTCTCACGAGTACCAGTTGAGCTGTACTCCTCTTCCAATTGTTCGTAGCTTCGAGGAGTGAACAGATGCCTTTGTTCGTTTTTGTTCTACCGGACAGTGTGACACTGTCTTTACTTTGCAGAGAGCCTTGACCGCTCCTTCGATTACTCGGTACTTGTCGATCTTGCTCTTGTGAGCTTGAAGGAGCACCCTCGCTTTGTCGTCCCACACCACCGTAGGGTCTACGATGGTGGCGCTCCCTCCTTCACAAGAACAAGATCTGGCATGAAATTCAGGTTGTCCTCACCTTTTATGCGTGGCTCCCGTATCACGTTGAAATCCCTCTTTTCGGCCAGTTGTTGTACCCTCTTCAGCACAATGTTATGGCGTGATATCCTTGCTTCTTTCACCGAGACACAGAAGCCGGTGATGTGACTGAGGGTCTCAGGACCTTTGCCACATTGTCTGCATAGTCCAGACCCACCTTGTTTCCGCAACTTTAGTAGAACCTTGGTAGGAAACGTATTAGTTCTCAACTTGAGCGCAACTAGGCATTCTGACGTTGTCAATGCCGATCTTTCGGTAAAGATATTGTTCCCGATGCGGTTGTCCGTAGCCGCTCTTACGCTCTTACCTTGAGAAGACAGAGCCGCCCACCGCTTTTGATGATCCCTTCTAATAGCTCTAAGCGGTCTCTTCCCAAGAGGAAAAGGAAGTCCCGCAGCTTTCGCTTCCCTTTGAGCTTCTCCATCAACCCCACAGGCGATTGCTATGCCCGCTATGGTATCATCTTTAGAGGATAGGCACATGAGCTTTGCACGTACCCTCTTTATTGGAACCACGTCCTTTAGACAAGGTACTCCGAGCCCACCGTCAGATCTTCCGGTGTAGAAGAAGTCGGTTGCAACATCCTGTGACAAGTGGAGCCACTTTTTAAGCCACGATCGTATCTCTTTGTCCAACCTTCCTAACTCCCTCTTGGCTGGAGCCTTTTCCCTCGCCCCAAGCTTAGCCACTATCCTAGGTACCACAACCTCGCACACCATTGCTAGCTTTTGTAGGGGTTTGAGAAAAGCCTTGCCTAGGTTCCTCATCCACCTGTGAAGAAGCATCATTGATGAACCCTCACGGAACACCCAGTTTGCCACCTTCCCCCCCAGATATTGGTAAGTCTCTCCGGGACTTATCCAAGGTACTGCCTCACCATTTGATAGTAATGGTCTCCCGTCGTTTATTATGAAGGATCCCCCGCTCCTCCTAATAAGGAACGCTGCACACTTCCTCACGTTAAGCTTCAGACCCGTAGCGGTACAAAAGTTCTCAACTAATGTGAGATTATGTTGTAACCCCTCCCTAGAGTCGGATTATTGTTCTAGTTCTATAATTATATGTAACATTGGCACTTGCACATACATAATTCTAAATTCAGTATGAACAATGGAAGTACTCAACATAGGTACTCTGAACTGACTAGAACTGTATATTTTTGTAATTAAATCACTTAAAGCTTCTTGTGAATAAATTTTTATTGGAAAAATTCATTCACAAGAAGGAAAAAAATGCAATTTCTACTGAATAACGCGTATGTACGTTTTTTATGGCACTCGTACATAATTCGATACCACAATCATTTTGTGTCTAATATATTCTTAATTACATGTCATAATTACTATCATAATTACAATGATATGTCATATTTACAATACTCTTTTGAGTACATACATATTTTTTTGAAAATATATTAGGCTTACCATGCTTAAATGACAACATGGGACCTTTAAAAATATGGGTAAACTAGAGGCTAAAACAAACTGAACATAAAAACATGAATAAATTACAAAATGGCACCTACATGTACTTTACTGCAACAAACAATCGTCCGCGCCATTGTGCCCTAAGCAATGTTGATTTTCAAAACACTTATCTCTCTCCTTATTAAGTTTGGAAGATTCTACTCTTAAATGCACAATGTTGAGACAATGTTTGTTGTAACCAACGTGTGAGACGTGCTTCCCCTTTTCTAAGATTTGACCATGGTGGAGGGCAAAAAGCAGCTGGTGACACAGTATGACACAAGAGTCCCAATGGGGCAGAGTGATCCGGATTTGGCCATACCCTGACCCACTGGCGCTCTTGAGCCACATTTTATTCTCCCACGAACACCAATTCATTTGTGATTCTGTTGATCATTGATGTCCTCTCCGTTGCCGAAGCAATTTGGACGAAATCATTGATTCTCTGCAAAAAATGAAAAATCAGCACTTTTTCAATATTTTAAAAAAAGTGAAATTACCCCCCTATTCTGACCCCGTTGGCACTGATCGACCCATATTGGCTAAATCTCAATACAAACGTATGTAAATGCAATGCCAAACGAGTCAAAATACGCCAACTATCATTAAAATTGTGTTTGAAAAAAGAAAAGCAAAATTCTTACTTCCATCGTCTGCAATATTAAGGTGTCCTAGTTAAAGGGTATAGTTGGCCACTTTTGAGCGAACTGCACCATATAATGGATATAGTTTCGCGTTCCCCTATATCTTACCTTCATCTTAACACATATTGAGCATAGGTTTTGCGTTTCGATTTTTAGATATCACTACACCAAGATGGGGACTCATTTTTAGGTCAATTTACTACTTCATTGATGAAAATTAATGAATAAAGTAGACCCGGTTTATGGGACTATGTTCTTGCGATTTTTTTCTAAGAATGCTACATTTAGAAAGTACTTGCCCTCAGCTTTACATAAATACCTCAAATGGCCACTGTACATGCACTTACACCTACTATACACACCATTGCCTTTGGTATGACTTCGTTTTAAAGTATTAAAAAACACTGTCCTACCCTGAAGTGGTATTTACAGGAGTGACACCATATGACATTTTTCCCTTTGGCGTTGGAGATTCAATTTCCCCACCACGAGAAGTCAAGTATTTGCGGAGCATCTTTACTAAAATTCAAATTAAAACCGACTCTAGATTCTTTGACAAGCTGAACTAACAGTTATTTATTCATTGACATCTACTCAAATTATCGATTGCATTGAGCCTTTACCAAAATAGATATAGTGTCACGCTTTGCCTAAGTTCTGATTGGTCAATTAGCTAAGCGTGCATGTGCCATAAGCGGGCTGAGACAACTCAGATACATAAATACCATGGCAAGTCCATTCACCAATCAAATTTCAATTCGACGATCTTTTTCATCGAAGTCACATCTCTCAGCCTGATGATACAAATCGTTGACTTCCAATCCATCCAAGAACTTCGTTTGTCCGACTTGGATTAATCAGTGAGGGCTAAAGTTTGTCATAGTCAATGTCTACAGATAAATCTTATCCCAAAGTTGTATTATAACATGAACAATAATCCAAATATTGTTCTCCAAACTATGAGTATGGGCGATAAAGTATTGTCACTTTGCACTTTTGCTATGCCCATGTGCTAAATCATAAGTACTGTGTCACTTTGTAGTGTGGGTGTACTAACAGTCACATAGAGAAGAATGTGGGCTGCCATGACTATGCCATCTGTACCAACTGCCACCATGCTTAGGCTGCCAAGTATTCTTAGAGAAACAAGAGAGTGTAAGACAGAATGTTTCAACCTGTGCTACTATAAAATACTAGTCCTGGAGTGAATACAAAGATTGTTAGATGTGACTGCAAAAGAATATTCTAAAGTATTCGTATTTGTATTCTAAAGTTTATAACTAAAATTAAGAGTTGGTGAAATTGATTGAAGAGTCAGGGTGAAGCCACACACCAAGTTTGTAAGAATTAAATATTTTATTTAACACAACAACCAAGCCTAGATCTTAATATATCATCGTTATGCTTAATTTTTTTTATTGATTTATGGTTCGACTTTGTCACAGCTTGTTAAATATTGTAAGTTTTGCCTCTAAACTGACCTGTATTCTATTCAATTACTGAAGGCCATCGCATTATTTTGAAAATAGTCAATTATTTTGGGAAAATCTTTTTAAATTTATTTTCTGAGAAGTCAAGATGGCTTCATTAAGAGGTATTACATACAATTGTCTCTCCTATGATTTTGTCACATCTAGTTAAAGATATCTAAAGTTTTGGCCCTGTATTAAACCCCTGTACTGAATGCCATCACATCTGCTTATTTTATATATGCGCTTGGTGCAGTCTGTCTTTCACATCTTGTTAGAGACACATGTGGAGTATGAAAAGTTACCTGTAATTGTCTCTTTGAAAGTATGAAATTGGCACATTATTTGAAGTATAGTAAAGAAACAACTGTCATATATTCATGTGATACTAAAGTTATAGTATCCCTTTAAATGTGATGTGACGTCATAGCCTCGTTCTGGATTTAATAAATGACTGATCAAGGAGAAACTGTTTCTGTTTATGTTCTGTTACAACTCGGTGTTTATTGTCTCATTACAACAACTAGACAAGTCGAGATGGCTTCATCAAGAAGTATTACATATAATTGTCTCACCTATGATTTTGTCACATCTAGTTAAAGATATTGGAGGTTTTGGCTGTAAACTGACCTGTTTTCTATTCCTAGACTGAAGACCATCATATTATTTTGAAAATATTTAATTACTTTGGGAAAATCTTTTTTTAATTTACTATTTGAGAAGTCAAGATTTTCTTCATTAAGAAGTATGACATGTACAAACAATTGTCTCACCTATGATTTTGTCACATCTAGTTAAAGATATTGCAAGTTTTGGCTCTAAACAGCACTGAATTCTATTCTTATACTGAATGCCATCACATTATTTTGAAATAGTGAATTGTTTTGGAAAAATATTTTTTTTAGATTTATTTTTTGAGAATTTGAGATGGCTTCATCAAGAAGTATTACATACAATTGTCTCACCTATGATTTTGTCACATCTAGTTAAAGATATCACAAGTTTTAGTTCTAAACAGCCCTGTATTCTATTCCTATACTGAATGCCATCTCATCTGCTTATTTTTACATATGCGCTTGGTGCAGTCTGTCGTCTTTCACATCTTGTTAGAGACACATGTGGAGTATGAAAAGTTACCTGTAATCGTCTCTTTGAAAGTATGAAATTGGCACATTATTTTAAAATGATAGCAATTTGTTTTGGATAAATCTTTTTTTATTAAATTTATTTTAAAGAAGTGAAGTAAAGATACACCTAGACAAGTCCAGGTGGCTTCATCAAGAAGTATCACATACAATTGTCTCACCTATGATTTTGTCACATCTAGTTAAAGATATCACAAGTTTTGGCTCTAAACAGCCCTGTATCCCTATACTGAATGCCATCCCATCTGCTTATTTTACGTATGCGCTTGGTGCAGTCTGTCGTCTTTCTAATCTTGCTAGACAGAGGCGTAGCATGGGTATTTTGTGAGAGTACGCCACTAGTGAGCGAAGCGAATGAGTTCGAGGGGGGTTTGGGGGGGTTGTCCCCCAAGAAAATTTTAAAATGAGATTGCATTTGAAGCATCCTGGGTTGGTTTGAAATACGAAATTCCGACTTAATCTGGACCAATTAAATGTAAATTATTAGTCATTTTTATCCAATATTTTATGATTACATGAACCCGTTTTAAAATAATGGCAAGACGAAATAGGTGCTTCTTGGAAATAAAACTCGTTGGCGTCATTTTATTGTTTATAACTGTATAGATCTACTCATTGTTTATAAGTATAAACTACGTTATATATATCATGTAAGTTTATGATGATGGACGATGTAGAATGATAAAGTTAACGCTACTTATTATTTCTATTTCAAAATTGCATCAACTCAATTCCGTTCAACCACAAAACAGGTGAAAGTTGGGTAAAATACGAACCTAATCATGTTATCATTCATTGTGCCGCCATGATGATCTACACAAAAAGTACCAACATCCAAAACTCGTACGCTAACAAACGTAAAGAAGCTCGCAGCCGTACAAAAATATATGTATTTCAGAGAGAAAATTTAGATTATTACAACACAATTAAAAAACAAACAACACAGGATTAGAACAAATCATTTATTTTGTTCATATATGATTGTTACTGTTACTATAATCTTACTATTTAAGATCTATCCAGTATTTTTAAAGTGCGGGACAATTCATTATAAAAAATCATTTTTCTCTCAAATTTGAGAGTACGCAATGGCATTTTTTGCGTATATGATGCTACGCCATTACTAGAGACACGTGTGAAGTATGAAAAGTTACCTGTAATTGTCTCTTAAAAAGTATGAAATTGGCACATTATTTTAAGATGATAGTCATTTATTTCAAGTAATTCTTTTTTTAAATTTATTTTTTGAGAAGTTAAGTAAAGATACACCTAGACAAGTCGAGATGGCTTCATCAAGAAGAATTACTAACAATTGTCTAACCTATGATTTTGTCACATCTAGTTAAAGATATTGCAAGCTTTGGCTCTAAACAGCCCCATATTTTTTTCTTTAATACTGAATGCAATAACATTATTTTGAAATTATAATTTTTCTTTTTTTTATTAAAATAGTTTATTATGATAGTGTCACTGGTTTACATTTGGTACAAATAAATACATATTCTAAAAAACCACCAGCCAATGTCGGCTTATGAGACACTGGACTTTAAAGATCAATAATAACAGTGTTTAAATAAATATGACATTCAACAATAAAACTCAATTGTTTTGTGAATTTTTTTTTGAATTTTTTTTGAGAAGTCAAGAAAGGTTTCATTAAGAAGAATAACATACAATTGTCTCACCTATGATTTTGTCACATTTAGTTAAAGATATTGCAAGTTTTGGATTCAAACAGCCCTGAGCCCTCATTATCCGGTCAGCGCTAAATTAGCATGGCGATTTACGTTGCGCTTGCGAATCAACATTATTTGCAAGCGCAAATCATGGTTTGCGTCGTATTATGCGCTTCACGCAAACGCAGACACAACGCAGACGCAACAGTATGCTAATCGCAAATAAATTGGAAACGCAGGAAATTTAAACTTAGAGCTCAAAATAGATTTATCGATTTTTTAATGTCTATGTATATGTTTACGCCAGTGCGGATGTGTCAATCAATGTTATCTATTTCAACTCAACTATTTCAAGTGTTATAGGTATATAACATGTGGGAATATAACTGATATGTGACGTGAGCGGGAGATATATATATCTCTCTCCCGCTCAGCAGATCTACGACGTCATAAATTCAGGGAGTAGATACGGAGCCAGGGGACTTTGCTATTATTCCTCACAATCTACTAAGTATAGAATAAATCAGTTATTAAATGCTCGATTTTTGATACAGGGTATATCCCTCGGTAAATACAATATATCAACCCTCGGTCCCTACGGTCCCTTTTTTTTTTAATAGTATTTATTGCATAAATAGTATATTACAATTAACAAAGTGTAATAATGTCAATCGCCCTGAGGCATTACAGACATATTCACAAATAGATAAAATACATACAGGCAATAACTTGATTGGAAAATAAATGTAAAAAAGAATTTAAAAAAGATGTGATAAAATGAATGAGTATGAAGAATGAAATGATGATGGTGAAGGTGACACTAGGACATGTAAAGAATGTTTAAACAAAGTCTGATCAACCTCTGTTTGATGATTCTATAAAATCTGAAATTGCGTGTGCCAGAGATTCATTTGTTTTGAAATTCATTTTATTAGAATCTCCAAACAGAAGTAATTTAACTTTGTTTGTCATATTCATTTGCTTGAAATAATCAAACACATTGAATTTTGCAAGCTCTGCGAAAAGTTTGTTCCGTTGGGGGTTGTATAGGGTGCAATTGAGAAGGAAATGTTTGCTGTCTTCTATTTTATTTCTACATGAACAAGCTGGGGATAAGACTGAATTAAAATTGTGAGCAAAGAAGTGAGCATTTAGAAATAAATCAACCCTAAGTCTATTTAAGGCGATTTCTTTCTTTCTTGATATAAGCATTTTAGTAGTTGGAATGATACATGTATATATATTTTCATCCTGAATGGAATTCTTAAGGCGATATTTAAAATGCAAGAATTCTTTTATTTTGGAGAGAGATTGATCAACATTATTCCAAGAGCTCATAAGTTGGAATGATGGAGAGTTTAATAACCTGGCTGATATATTTCCAGGTACCTTATAGTATCGCACTCTTCTCAACTGAGTGTTGTTATGATCAGCTAAATAGGCATTGAATACATTTGACACATATGAAGGTTTCATCTTATTAAAGACTTTAAACGTGTACAAGAGTTTATGGTAATTTCTTCTAGATTCAAGAGTTTTCCAGTTCAGGATGTCAAAAACTTTAATTTTGCTTGATCCATGGATGACTCCACTTATAATACAACCAGCTTTATAATGAGTGCTTTCGAGTTTGGCCAGCTCAAATTTTGATGCCGCTGCATAAAATAAATCACCATGGTCTAAGATCGGTAAAATGAAAGCATTGTAAATTTTTTCAAGATGTCTTGAGGTAACTTTTTTAGAGATTGCCTTTAAGCCATTTACCATATTTTGATACTTATTTGACACATGTCTAGCATGGTCATTAAAAGTTAATTTGTGGTCAAAAATAACACCAAGATGCTTATGAGATCGAACCTTTGGAATTTCATCTTTTCCAAGAAATAAGGGTGCAAGGTCCGGAGCTTCTTGCCTAGATTTAATAAATGTCAAATCCGCACTTTTTGAGGCTTTGAAAAATAACTTCTACGGTCCCTCGGGTTGATATATTGTATTTCCCTCAGATATACCCTGTATCAAAAACCTCCCATTAAATAACCTCTATATATTTTCATCAGCGGTCAGATATAGCTATACGTCCCGCTCTGAGCGGGCAGATATAGTATATCTGCCCGCTGACGTCATAATCGCCGTTCGCATATTGGTTCATTTTTGTAACATGCACATAATTACTGTAAACGTTAATGGAGAAAAGGCAGACAATCGCGATCTGTTTGAAGGAAGGAAATGAGCGTATCCCTGTTAAACAAGGATTTCAGAAATAAATGTGGATGAATATCTGAAAATCAGGCTATTCTAAATGAATTCTTACGGTTGGTTGGGCATTTTCTGAACTCCGGCCAATTGAACAGCGTGAACAAAATGACCAAGATTGGTATGGGATAAACAGATCATCCTATAGTCGGTTCATGATATTGGGATTAAATAAATGTGGATGAATATCTGAAAATCAGGCTATTCTAAATGAATTCTTACGGTTTGTTGGACATTTTCTGAACTCCGGCCAATTGAACAGCTTGAACAAAATGACCAAGATTGGTATGGGATAAACAGATCATCCTATAGTTCAATATCCTGAACCACATATAGGATAATCTCTATTTATCCCATGATACTACTAATTCCCGATGAATAACCGGGAATATTTTTGATATTGAGAAAAAATCGTATTGAAAATTTTTGCCAAACAAAGCTTCCTCTTTCAATCAGTTGGGTCGATATAGCATGCTAAAATGATGTTCTTATGTGAAAAACGAATTCCAGTTTTATCATCATCGCTCTGACACAGACAAAATGCTTACGTATTGCTGAATGTTTTGATGTTGATGTGTTTATGTTACACATGTACAATAATTTTTTTATATTTAAAAATATCATAAAGCTAAGTCATATTTTCTTGATTAAATATACCATTTTTTCATAGAAAAATCTAACTAATGATTTTATGAAGGCAGTTATGAATATCATGAAATAAAAATAAAAAGCTAATCTGGTCGGGATTAAATATGGGTTTATTCCTCATGACAATTTGATATTTCACATATTGTGAGGGACAATTTGGTATTTCCCTCTGACCCTCCGGGCTCTCGGTAAATATCATATTGTCCATCATAATAAAACCCATATTGAATCCCTCCCACTACATAACCTATATATATCTTGCGAAAATCTAGATCTGTCACTGGAAGGCAGCCCATCTTGAAAACAAGACATGGTGTCTTTGTAATTAGTCCGACTGATATAGCCTACCTAGAGAAAACCGCCGATACCTCAGCAACAATGTTCGAAACAGTAGGTTGGGATACCCCGAATATATCTCCATTTATCATTTGCATACAACCTGTAGCATAAAATCGTAATGAAATGAATACTTTTAGCTGACATGGAATTGCTTGAGGATTCCTTGTTCTTGACGCTAGATCCCCATCTAATATATTAATCAACTCAAGAATGAGTGGCCTCGGCATGCGATATCTGTTTAATATCTCATCGTCAGTCATCTCTAACGGCTGACTCCTGTCTCTGAATAAGCGTAAACCTCTTCTATTGTAATCCTGGAATAATATGCGCCACATTTTCCAGCTTGATCGAACCCTAATATTTTAATTTTAGCAGACGATATTTGTGAAAAGGAATTGCGATATTTATTATAGATTTCACAAAACCAAGGTAGCATAATCGTGTACTTTCAGACTTGATTTTGATAAGTTTTGGTTATTTGTGTCTCTAATGTTTTTCAACCTATTTTTAGTTGGATGTCTCAAAGGGCACTTCCTAGATTTCTACAACGATAATGTTAATTTAAATAGGAAAACTATCAAGATTCTTGATGATATGTTTGCGATTTATAGGGGGCAGGGTCAGGGATGCCGCAAATAAAGTGGAGTTTGCGACATAAAAATCAACTGATTTACGTGGACGCAACTGTGCGATGACTGCATAATACCAATTTGCATGCGTTTAGCAGTGTATTTGCGATGCTAAAGACGCAAAACGGCAATGAATTTGCGCTAGAGTGCCTTTGAGATGACCTCATAATATCGTTTTGCATACGATTCGCTAAATATTTACGTTGCGATTGCCATTTGCGGTGCGTCGACCGGATAATGAGGTCTCTGTATTCTATTCCTATACTGAATGCCATAACATTATTTTCAAATAATAGGCAATAGTTTGGGGAAATCTTTTTTTTATTAATTTTCTTTTTGAGAAATGAAGTAAATATACAACTAGACAAGTCAAAATGCCTTCATCAAGAAGTATTACATACAATTGTCTCGCCTGTGATTTTGTTACATCTGGTTAAAGATATTGCACGTTTTGCCTTTAAATAGCCCTGTATTCCATCCCTATACTGATAGCCATCACATCTGCTTATTTTTACACATGCGCTTAATGCAGTCTGTCATCTTTCACTCTTCTCACTGGCATCACATCTTGTTAGAGACACATATGGATTATGATTAGTTACCTGTGATCATCTCTTATTAACACCACAAAGTTATCATAGAGTGTATGCTGATTTTAGAGTTTTTTTGTTTTTCCTCTGGTATTTTCTGAGTGTTCAAGATCACAGTATTACAGTAGTACATAGGCTGGTTTTAAAGTCCTTGTATTCCCTTTAAATTTTATAGAGGTCATGTTTGAGGTGAGGTGTTTTGGCAGATAATTTTGAAGTAATAGTTGATTGTTTAAGGAAAATCTTTTTTTAAATTTATTTTTTGAGAAGTTGAGATGGCTTCATTATTAAGAAGTATTACATGCAATTGTCTCGTCTATAATTTTGTCACATCTAGTTAAAGATATTGCAAGTTTTGGCTCTAAAAAACCTGTATCCTATTCCTATACTGAATGCCATCACATCTGCTTACTTTTACATATGCACTTGTTGCATTCTGTCATCTTTCACATCTTGTTAGAGACCGCATGTGGAGTATGAAAAGTTACTTGTTATTGTGTCTTTGAAAGTATGAAATTGGTGTATTATTTTAAAATAATAGTTGTTTGTTTTTGAGTAAATCTTTTTTAAATTTATTTTTTTGAGAAATGAAGTAAAGACAAAACTAGACAAGTTGAGATGGCTTCATCAAGAAGTATTACATATAATTGTCTCACCTATGATTTTGTCACATCTAGTGAAAGATATTGCAAGTTTTGGCTCTAAACTGACCTGTATTCTATTCCTAGACTGAAGGCCATCACATTATTTTGAAATTGGTCAATTATTTTGGGAAAACCTTTTTTTTATGATTGTCTCACCTATGATTTTGTCACATCTAGTTAAAGATATTGCAAGTTTTGGCTCTAAACAGCCATGTATTTTATTCCTTAATACTGAATTATTTTGAAATAATAGTCAGTTGTTTTGGGAAAACCTTTTTTAAAATTATTTTTTGAGAAGTCAAGATGACTTCATTAAGAAGTATGACATAAAATTGTCTCACCTATGATCTGTCTCATCTAGTTCAAGATATTGCAAGTTTTTGCTCTAAACAGCCCTGTATTCTATCCCTATACTGTTTATTGTTACATATGCGCTTGGTGCAGTCTGTCATCTTTAACTCTTCTCACTGGCATCACATCTTGTTAGAGACACATATGGATTATGATAAGTTACCTGTGATCATCTCTTATTAACACCACGTAGTTATTATAGAGTGTATGATGATTTAGAGTTTTTTGTTTTTCCTCTGAGAATTTTTGAGTGTTCAAGATCACAGTATCGTAATAAGACATGGGCTGGTTTTAAAGTCCTTGAATTCCCTTAAAACTTTGTAAAGGTGATGTTCACCTTGATGACAGTTTCAAACGTTTTTTATATCTCTGCTTCATAAAAATACCACAAATGTCTCACCTTCTCTGGACGCAGTCTTGAAGGTATGAAACAGGCACATCCTTTTTTGATAATAGTCATTTGTTTTAAATTTTATTTTTAAGAAGAAAGATAGAATAATTAGACAAGTCAAAATGGCTTAATTAAGAAGTATTGCATACCATTGTCTCACCTATGATGTTGTCACATCTAGTTAAAGATATTGCAAGTTGTGGCTCTAAACAGCCCTGTATTCTATCCCTATACTGAAAGCCATCATATTTTGAAATAATAGTCGTTTGTTTTAGGAAAATCTTTTTTTTAATTTATTTTTTGAGAAGTCTAGATGGCTTCATTAAGAAGTATTACATACAGTTGTCTGCCCTATGATTTTGTCACATCTAGTTAAAAATATTGCAAGTTTTGGCTCTAAACAGCCCTGTCTTCTATCCCTATACTGAAAGCCA